GCTTGGCTCAGTCCCAGACCCAGTCAGCCATTACGAATCCCATTTTGTTAGTAGCCAGCCGCAAGCGACTAACTACCAAAACTACTACTGCCTCACAGTTTTCGTTTACAGCGGCGGCCATAATGTACTCGCTCGTACGTAGTACGACGTACAGCACATGCATTAAAACAGAGTCAGACAGAGAGCGAAAGAGAGAGAACGTCAGGCAACAGCAGCAACAGCAGCAGAAGCGCCCCCGTTCAGTGCCCGCCCGCCCTTCACAGACATGGGGTCGTGAGTCACCTGAGCGTAACGTAAGCGCAGCTTATTGTTTGCTCATGTGCCTCGTCGTCTCCGTCGGCGTCGTCATCGCGTTGTACTTGTGTGCTCGTTATTATTTTGGCACTCACTCACATTCGTTCATTCGTCTGTTTTGACTCTCCCAGTGCTCTCTCCCAATGCAGTTTTGTTTCACACAGAGCAGAGCAGCTGTTTTGGTAGCTGCCTGTTTACTGCCATTGTGATCGCCTTTCTGGCAATGAGCGTGTGTGAGTGTGTGTGTGTGTCGTTTGCATACACAAATTTCCACCTCTTTTTTTTTGTAAGTGTTTCACAATTGACAATGGAAAGATAGATGTGAGTGTAATTCCATTATAAAGCTCTTAATTGTGACTGTCAAAAAACTGGTGCATTGCAGATGTTTTCAGATGAGTTAAAGCTCAAATAAAAACACTTGTCTTGATTGCTTTCAATTTTGCTTTAAGGCTCAGCCCCATTCTGCCTCCGTATATACGTCAATGATCAGTGTAAATACAGGTGTATGTAGATATGTGTGTGATTGTGTCTGTGTGTGTCAGTGTCTGTTAGCTAGACTGCAAGTGTTTTGATTGTACTCTTCCAATTCTTTTCGGTAGATCAAATGGAAAAGAATAGCTTAAAACAACACCAGAACAGCAGCAGCAGCAGCAGCCGCAACAATAACTGGCACACAAGCTTGCCTATTGGCAATACACACACACCAACACACACACACGAGACTCATTCACTCTCTCCATTCGCTCTCTCACACACACACTCACACACACAAAGATGGAAACCAGCCAGTCGATTGACGGCTTGGAAGCTCGCGCACTTTTGTCTGTTAATTTAGTCTCTCTCAAAGTTTCGTCGAGGCAGGCAGCATAGCAGAGCAAGCAGAGAAAACGTGCGCGCGCTTTTCTGTTCAAAACGAGAGTCGACGTCGCAGTCGCTGCCCGATCGTGCATTTTGTTGTTTAATATTAACTTGGCTCGCTCAGCTCACTCTATGTTTGTGAGTGTTAGTCACAATTTGTTGTTGGCATCCATTATTATTGAATATGGATTGTTGTTGTGGTTGCCACTTTGCATACGCAAAATAAGCAACAAAATTTGAAAATTGGATAACAATTTTTTTTGCAGCGCGCGAATTGATTTGCAAACAAAAGTTTGTGTGCGAAATATGTGAGTGAGTGAGTGAGTGTTGAAAATTGAGAAATAAATCAACAACAAAAACAACTCAATAATATAATAAATTGAAAAAATACACACATATGTGCAGATCACGACTCGACAGCGCGTGTGCCTTCTTCTGCGTCTACTTCTTCTTGTTGTTGTTGTTGCATGTTGTTGTTATTGTTGTAACTCACCAATTTGCTTAAATGTCGTAGTTGTTGTAGCTGCTGTCGAGGCAGGGCCGGTTTATTAATTTGACATCGCCACATAAAACAAAAACCACAACAGCAATGAAAAACCCAACGAGTAACGAATAAAACAAAACGGAAACTATGAAAACAAAAAAAGGCAGCAACTGTATTGCATACAATTTTTTTAATGTAAAAAAATAAAATATAATTAAAGAGAAAATCGCCTTTCTCTGCGCGCGTATCACAAAAACAATAGTGCCGCCAACAACAACAGCAACGAAAAACAGGCAACGACAGCGGGAACAGCAGCAGCAGCAGCAAAAGCCACGGCCACTGCCCCGTTACGTTTCGGCAAGCACACAACCAAAGCGTCCCAAGTGTGTGTGTGTGTGTGTGTAGTTGGGATGTGTGTGTATGTTGTGGACTCGACTGGAAATTTCTGCTACACATTTTTTTAATTGAAATTGTGGGCTAGTGCTGAGAGCATAAGCTTTAGCCCTCCCTTCTCAAATAGAAGCGCGCAGTTAAAATAACAGTCTAGTAATCGCTTAAAAGCTGCGATCAAAAGTCCTTTCGCAAAGCTTAAAATCATGTTAGTCAAAGCTTGCGTTCACATTAAATGAGCTTAACAGCTGATTGCTCCAGCTCAGCTGCAGTTGCAGCTGGTGCCCTGCAGAGAAAGCACAAATTGAAGTCACAGTTACACAGTTAACGGTGTGCTGCGCTTCCCCAAAAACAAACAAAAGCTGCACTCGATATCTGTCTCTCTCTCGCTCTTTCTATCTCTCTCTCTCTCTCTCGCTCTTTCTCTCTCTCTCTCTCTCTCTCTCACGAAGTTTGCAAGGCGATCTGAACTGTTTTTCATGCTGCTTCTGTTACTGCTGCTGCTGCTGCTGCATTGCTTGTGTAACTAACCCCCCCCCCCCCACTTGCCAACCAATTACGCTGCGTCGCGGCCGCAGTCGCAGTTGCGTTGCGTTGTGCAGTTAACGTTGTTGCATATTGTGTTTCCACTTCCTCTTCCGCTCATTTTGGAGCCGCCCGGCTGCAGTTGTTAGACAGAGAGAAAGAGAGAGAGAGAGAGAGTGCAAGCGAAGGAGAGTTGGATTACGTGCGCCGCAACTAATGACACGAAAGTGAATAAAGTGACGACGAGCTGCGAGCTGCGAGCTGCGAGTTGCGAGTTGCGAACAGCAACTGGAAACTGCTGCCCATTGTGAACCCACTTTGACGCCGCCCAACCACAGCGCGCCCAGCTGCATTTATTAAGCTATCTCTCCCTTTCGCTCTTGCGTTAGTGAATGTGTTTAATGTGTGTGTGTGTGTAATAATTATAATTTAACAATTATACAATGCAAGCAACAAAACAACTTGGAACAGATTGCAACTGTTGTTGCTGCTGCAGCAATGTTGTTGCTCGTGCAGTGGAACACCTGTAAAACAAAGGCAGCTCTATCTACAACAACAATGGCAACAACACTATTATAATAACAACTACAACTGCAACAACTTCGCTATTGTCGTGCACTGTGGCGGATGCAGTCAGCTTTAAGCATAACGAAAATTAAGATCAACGACAAACGCTAAAAAACTTGTTCAACAAAAATTGCAATTACAAGTAGAATGTTTCTCAGAAACAAGTTGGCTACAAAATCAACAACTTCTCGATAGTTGTTAAATGAAACAGAAACATATTGGAAGCTTTTTTATGAGTGGGTTTTTCGGGGCAGCGTTCTCACAGTAGAACGACGAGAATTCTGCTTAGAACAAAATCGAACAACAGTTGTTTTGGTTGTAGGCGACTTGTTTTGGCCAATAGCGCCATGACTTGTTGTGGAATCCAAGGCAAGGCTGGCTAACACAGTGGCTTAGGGAGAGAAGTGGTGGGCTAATGGCTTATCGACACAGCGAAATTCGTTGGCTTAAACAGCATTTTCATGTCGTATTGTCGTTCTCAATTCTGGGTAACAGCGGCCAAAATGACGAAACAGTCAGTGACAGTCTCTCAGTCATTATGGGTTTGTCTAGAATTGTAACGAATCCGAGACGTGTTACGCTCTTCATATTAATGATGAAGACATCAGCGATCGTTTTCGCAAAAAAACAAAAAACAACAACATAACAACACAAAAAAAGGCTCTTGAGGTTCTTGAACTTGCCAAAAAATAACAAATAAAGCAAATTTAGAGCTGAAAAGTGTGGGGGATTTCAGCGACTTCTTCGTCTTTTTCCTACGTATTCAATCCGAAATTAGCATAGCGATCTTGATCTTGTCAGCCCGATAAACAAATGAATATTATTTTTCCCTTTCTATGCGCCCATTGTCTACACAATTGGCAATATTCTCACGTAAATTTCCATATGATTTATGGGTCTCCATTAAAGTGGATCAGGTCAGTCCGGCTCGGCTCGGCTCGACTCGGCTGGCTGCCAAAAAGCTTTCTCAGCTGTCAGCTGTCTGGCAAGCTTTTGCCAACAGTTAACGGTTCACATCCCTGTCTCTTATACATGTTTAGTGTATATAGCATGTGTATCTAGTGTGTGTCTGACATATGAATAAACGAATACAATCATTCAATTTGAATATTGTTTACTTGGCACTCACTCGACACTCGGCGGCGACAGAGTTTCATTTATTTTCTAGCTATGCGACTTTTACTTGCGATCACAGCGATCGCTGACCTAAAAAGCTACAAAAGCTGATTGAATGAATGCGCTCCGAGAGAGCCGTGAGATTGCAATTCACTCTCTCGTAAGCTCAAACTATACAAACATTTTGCAAGTGTCACGCAACCCACTTGCTTCATTAGCGATAGTCTCTGTCTCCTTCTCCCTCTATCTCTTTCTCACTCTTTCTCTTTCTCTGTGTCACTGTTGTATTCGCTGTATTTATTACAGTGTTTTTTTTGAAGGGCGTTCGACAAATGCTGGCGAACTTTGTGTTTGTTGGGTTAACAGTGGGTGCGCAATGCGCAAAAAAAGAAAGAAAATCGTTTGGAATGTCTGCTAAAGGTGTTTAACTAATATTATCGCTTAGCGCCAACAAAAGAACGTTATCTACTACGACATGTAGCCAAGAACAAAAAAAAAAAAAAACTGCGAGAGGAAAACAACGAAAATAAATTCCACAACTAAACCAAAGATATAATGGCAAAGAAATCGAAGTATGTGCAAGCAAACAACAAAATTTAAACAAAAATATATGTGCATAAATTAAAACGAAAGCAAGAACAATAAATTCAAATCGAAATATATAACAACAACAACAATAACAACCAACTCAGCAGCAAGAAATCAATTTTGCAAATGAATGAAACGAAAGCAAAACAAAAGCAAAATACACAAACAATACGAAGAAACCAGCAGCAGCAACCACAATCACAATCACAACAACAACAAGGCAAAAACAAACCTACGTAAAGTAAAGGCGAAAGTATAACCACGCCCATTGGCGCTACCGTTCGCCCCACTAAACCACCACGCACCACTCGATATTGTAACTGTGTGTTTCTCGTCTCAAGTGCTTCGAATGTGAAGCAACGCTGTTGTTGCTCTTGGAATCATCATCCACTACGATCATGTCCAAGACAAGTAAAAACAATCACAACAGCCACAGCAACAGCAGCTGCAACAGTAGCAGTCAACACAATAATCGTCGGCATTTGCCAGTGCCGGCGTCTGCCTCCCTCCTCGAGGACAGTGAATCCTTTCTGCAGTACAGCGACAGCGAGAAGAAGCCGCCGCCAATTGTGGTTGTCGTCGGCGATGGCAGGAGTCGTGTGCGTCGCGTGGTACGCACAGCCACGCGGCACGTGACAGTTGTGAGCCTGTCGACGCGCCACAAGGAGACGCAAACGCACACCTCGCACCATGTGACGGCTGTCAGGTAAGGGTCTCAGCAGACAGCAGCAGAAGCAGCGGAAAACACAGTCAACGCTTATCGTTATCTCTGTGCGATTTGGCTCTGCTCATGACTGTATTAATAAGTATTTATGGCTGCTATTTTAATTGGTCTGCATGAAGTGGCTCTAAAACGTTATCTTCGTTTTTAATTCCACTGCATTTCTCTTCATAAGCGCTGACTGCTGTGGAACTTGTTGTGTATTGTATTGTATTTAATTGTAATGTGTGCCAGTTGCTGTGGTATATTTAACTTTAACCGCACACCTTTTGCATAAAAGTAGTGCATACTTTGGGGCTGTGGCAGAAAGTGTTAATGCGCTGTTAATTTGACATCGCTGTTAGCTAACATTGATTTATGTGATACACACGAACTGATAACTCCAGAATGATTTATGAACCAAATAAATTAAAAAATTAAAAGCATTCATTTTTAAATTAAGTGTTTTAAATGTAAGTGATGCGAAACGACCACCCAGCTCAGTTGAAATAGAATCTGTGACAAAAGTTTAATTTTTGTTTCATTTCAGAAAAAAATAAATATAAATATAAAAAAAAAGAAAAATAAATAAGAAGAAAATCTAACAAAATAAAAGGCATATTGATTACCTCTTTTTTTTTACAAAGAAAAAAAACTTTAATCATATTTAGAACTGCGTTCTTTTTTTTTGTGAAGGCGCCCACTTTTGGTGTGAATAAATTTGACAACAAAATCAATTCACGTCTCCCGCAGCGGTTTCCCTGTCACATTGTCTAGCAGCTGTCTGCCTGTATTTTTGTTTGTTGTTTTTGGCTTTTGCTTTTGCTTTTGCTGCACAGTTGTTTGGGGCACACTCCATAAAGCATAAGCCCATCAAAATAACACTAATGTAAAATCAATAACAATTACGGGTGCGCTTTGTGGGTAAAAGGCAACCGCCGCCGACGCCGTTGTCTTCTGCCTGTTCTTCTTCTTATATTACGTGCAGGTCACGCAAGTCGCCAAAGGCCGTCAAAAGACGGACGCAGTCGACACTTGTTGCATATTAAGCAGTCAGCGCGAGGAAGTGGGCGATTGAGAGAACGAGGCAATATCCGACTCTCTGCCACAAAATGTGTTAACTTGTTGGCTCGCGAGCAAAGCGCACTTTCGACACAAGATACAACTCTTGAGTATCCAGCGGATACATCAGATACAGATACAGATACAGCTACAGATATGCCGCGGGCAAACAAACAGCTGGACACATGTGCAACGGCAAACAATTACATGCGACGTGTGGCAGATGTTTTTCTCCTTTTTCTTTTTTTTTTTTTTTTGCTGCTCTTGGACTCAATTTTCAAAGCAGGACTTTTGAGCACTTAAATCGTGGCAGAGTCCGAGGAGAGAGCGAGAGGGGGGAGAATGCGTCAAGTTGCTTAGCTGGCAACAATAACAAGCGGGTTGTTGTTGTTGTTGCTGTCAGGCAACTTCTACCTGCAGCAAGGACAACAACAAACACTGAACAACGCCAGGTGCATTGGGAAACTGGTAAAATACAGAAATGAAAGACGAAGAAAAAAAACAATCGCACACGGATGGTATTTTCCTGTCTATACAAAATCGTATTGTGCATTGCTCCTGCCACTCTGATTATCCTGCGAATCCTGTTTTATTTTTATTCCCCGAGCGCTGCTTGCTAGGTGCAAAATGCAGCTGCTCATTGTTCCGTTGCTGGTCTTTGGGAGTGTAGCAAACTCGTTTATGCCCTAACTTATTGCGTTTGCTTTGGCCATTGGCCAAACAACTTTTTAGGCCACCAACTGAGCCATGATTCGAAAACGTTCGTTCCATGCAGACAGCTATACGAATCGTATAATCGATGATCTAAGCAATGCAATGCAAATCGATTTCTAGTTTGAAATAGATCACACAGATTCTTTGGCTTTGTTCTGAAACTAATATTTATAGCTATAAATCGATTAATCTAGAAAAGTTATCTTTTGTTTATGCGAATTTCAAATGAAGAGAAATTTAAAAAAAAAATGCCTTTGTTAAAAGTATGAATGATTCTTCTTTATGTTGGATCGTTTAAAGCAAATCATAACTGAATAAGAATGAGGAACTTGAACCTAATAAGCATCGTAATATATTTGGATATAAATTAATAATATTTCTTGTTAAATCAAATGTATAAAATCAGATCATTTTTAATATTCAATATTTCTATACAATATTTTTCCAATCAATTATCACAACAATTGTTGCTCAATCAGCGCAATCGATAGCTTCATTAATTACCCCGACAAATTCCGCTGATCTGTCAACAATTTTTTTTCAATACTTATTTCTATTTTGAAAAATCACACTTTCTTCTCTAAGGGAACTCTGTATGTGTATGTTAACGTTGGCTAATCATTTCCTTCAAATTCACTTTACTCTCGAAATCCCTTCCCATGCCATATGGCATTAAGCAGCACTCTGAATCTTTTTTCCCCCCTCATCTCTGCTCTTTCGCCTTTGGTATAATGGATCCTTTTACGCTTAGGATCTGCTCTTTTGTTGTAGTCTGTTCATATTGTCTATGGCTTCGTTAAGGGTAGCAAACAAAACAGATGCATTTATTTTTTCGGATGCGTAGGCAGCTGACACACACACCTACACACACACACACACAAACACAGACACACACACGCACACTCAGACAAAATGAGGTATGCGAAACACGTTTCTCGAGTCGAAATACTTCCTATGCCTTCTTCGATTTTGAGCAGCTTGTCGAGCTCTTTGGGCAGGCGCTCGGTTTAGTTGAAACGCGAACGTTGCTGGGCGACGACGTGATCTTCCGCTTATTCCAAAATGCTTAAGTGCTTCCCGTGCAGTGGCTCGGTCTAACCGACAATCGACAGAAACCGACAAACCAACCAACTACGTGAAAATACAGCGAGCACGAATATCAATTTGAATAATATTAAAATTAACAAACGACTGCTCATAACTGGGTCTCTCTGTGTTTGAGTGTTTTTTCTATTAAGAAACTTAAGATCGTAGAATATTGTCAAGATGATCATTTGCATTTCGGGTTTTATAATTGGCGAAAGGTGGGCATTAAAAAACTGAAAACTAAAAACTACAAATTAAAAACTAAAAACTAAAATTCACAAATGAAAGTCGTGTTTAATAACTGATCCTAATCCTTACTAATTCTACTCTCTCTCTTTGTCTTTGCCCTCTGCTTGCAGCTTTCCCCAGAAGAGCATTGAGCGCAGCGGCTCCACCCAATATGATCTGGCTGGAGCACCGGTGGCTGCCACACACGGCTCCAGCAGCTCGACCACGGACAGCGTCGGTGGTTATGTTTACCTGCAGAATCATTATGCGGCTGGCGGTGTTGGTGGTGGTCATAATAATGCCGCTACCATCAATTATCCCGCACCACAGCATCCACAGATGATCTATCAGATCCAGCAGTATCCCACGTGCCATCAGCAGCAGCAGCAGCAGCAACAACAGCAGCAGCAGCAACACCTGCAACAGCAGCACTATATGCAACTGCAGGCGGCACCAGGGGGCGCTGGCCATTACCATCATCACAATCATCACCTGCTGCACAATCACCATGGGCATCATCATCATCATGGTGGCGCTGTAGTCATTGCTGGCAGTGGCGTCGGCACCGGTGCCGGAGCAGCAGCTGCCGTCGTGTTGCAACAACAGCAGCAGCAGCAGCATCAACAAAACATGCACAAAAAGAACTCCATACGCAACGGTGGCGATGTTCTCAAGCGCACGCGCGCCCAGTCAGCGTAAGTACGACCGATAACAAGTAGAATGTATATATATATATATATATATATATATACACATGGATATATATGTAGAACCGATTTACAGTCGTGCAATCAGTTGTCATACAGTGGAGGCCCAGACTCAGACTGGCAGCCTAATGAGTTTGGACTTTGAACTGCGCCAATTTTGTATATAAGCGTAAAGCATGGCAAACTTCCACCTTTCCCTCGTTAGGCCCCTCTCTGCTGATATCTACTATTCGGTACACTGACGCACGATAACAAATAAAATGTAAATATTTAAGAATATGCCACTGGAGCCCATCAGCTGACAACAGATCTTTATGACGATGTGTGGTGATTCAACAGAAACTACAAACTGCACTTGCGCTCAAGGTGCTCAAGGAATACTTGACAAACAGAGCAAGTTGGAGCATCCTCTGTGCAGCTGTTTCTCTTCGAGATGCACCTGATAAGCGTCTTTCCACTTGTCAGTCACATAACAGTCACATTGTCGGCCGTAATTTTCCCCTGTGTCAAAACTGTTATCTTGCATGCAGACGAATCTCTGCTTCTAATTGCTAAAACTGCTACACTTCACCTGTGGCTTGTTCTTGCTCGCAGACTCACCGAATTCTAGAACAAATAGACAATTAGCTTCTGCGAAGCATATCAGACAATCAATGTTTAAAGTGGTTGGGAATTAACAATGTCAAATTGGCACTTGAAAGAGACATGAATTAGATAGCCTTGTAAGGACAGACGAACTCTCCGACTCCATAAATATATATGTATATATATATGATCAGCTTCATTATCTGAGTCGATATATCACCATCCATCATCATATAGCTGTCATATGAACAATCGGTCCACATCTGGATAGGCTTAGACATACTGATATGATTGAACTACATTAATGTCGAGAAACAGCAATAAAGTAAGCTTAATAATACTTCAAACCCCGTGCTAAAATTGAAATGTAAGCAGATTAACTCCAGTCGAGAAGCGAATGTAAACTTCGGTGTGTCTGAGATGGAAGTGTCTTCTCAGAATCAGACGTCTTTTGTATAAACAGGTCATCAGCAAATATTGTTGTCAAATCTCTGCTGTCACAGATTTTATTAGCCCAATTTGGTCTCTCTGTTTAATCAGAAGTATCTTGATTGTAATCAGATCTAGCTAACTATTAATTAATAGCCAGTCCGATGACTTTCAGTTTCTTTCTATCGTGCGCCAAATTAAAAGTGTGTGGAGGAGGGATGAGGGTGCGACGTTTTTATGGCAATAACCAAATTCTGGTGGCGTCCTCCCCCCGCGTGGGGCAACATTTTAATCAGGTCGATAGCAAACGTTGACGAACTGTATTTCAAAGATACCCGTACAAACAAAATCCAAAAACGACACAGCAGACGCTATCTTATCAGACGGAGCTGCGGGCGAACAACTTGCGCCAGTTATGCGCAAATTTCCAAGCTGTAAAAGCCACGCAGCGGCGTAGTTCCTCTTGTCTACTTCTATTATAATTCTATTCTTTTGTTTTTTGTGAAATTCAGTTAAGTGCAATCTCCTCTCTCTCTCTCTCTCTCTCTCTCTCTGCGTGCGCAGCTACGAGCTATCGCAGGATCTGCTGGACAAACAGATCGAGCTGCTGGAACGCAAATACGGCGGAGTTCGGGCGCGCAATGCGGCGGTCACAATTCAGCGCGCCTTCCGACACTACATGATGGTCAAGAAATTTGCCTCCATTACAGCAATGGCCAAGGCTGAGAAGCGTCTCAGCCGGCGCATGGTCGTCACCGCATCGAGCATGACGCTCGCGGAGGAGAGCGCGAATGCCTCGTTATCATCTGCCTATGGCAGCACCACAGAATCTCAGCTCGAGCAGCAGCAGCAACAGCTGCAGCAGGCGGCTCAGCAGCAGCAGCCACGTGTCACCATTATGGCTGGTCCGCCGGGCGCTGCCTCGCCAGGTCTGTCCAGGACGCCACCGACACGTTCGCTGTCGATGCGCGAGCGTCGCCAACTGGACTGCAGTCCCATACCACGCAGTCAATCGGGTGAGTTGCAGATTGGCAATTGAGTGTGGCATGAGTATTGAGTGTTCCTCAAGAATAGACTCTGTCTACCAAATCAAAGCTAGCATTGTCAGAGAGAAATACAATTTGCTAACAGTTTTGTTTTTGTTGTTTTTATAGGCGCCTCACCCGTCTCCATAACCAGCTCCAACACCTCCATTTCCGGCTTGGCCTCGCATCCGCACGTAAACCTGTTGCATGCCGCCGAGCCGCATTATTACAACACTCAGGCAATGCCCTCGGCAGCGGCATATTACACCAGCTACCATGGATCGCCGCATGAGTTGAGCTATGCCAGCTCGGCGGACACCTCGCTGAATGCGTCGTGGGTGAACACGAGCGGACACTCGCCACACACGCCCTACTATTCGGCGGCACAGATCTATATGCGACCCAAGGGTGGCAGCACAACGCCAACGCCCAGCTGCGGCAGTCAGGGCAGCGGCAGTGGTGGCAGCAGCAGCAAGAAGGTACCACCGGAGGTGCCCAAGCGCACCTCCTCCATCACCGCACAGCAGCAGAGCCAGCTGCTGATGATGCAGCGACAGACGCCGCCGCCACCCTCCCTGCTGCGCACCAATGGACTCTGCAAGACCGCCGAGAATGGCAGCTTGACCTCCGTGCAGAGCTCTGGCTCTGATTCGAGCGTCACGTCAGCGGAGCGGAATATCAACAGTGATCTGGGCTCGGATCGCAGCAACTCGCCACACACGTGGAAACGTGGCACTGCCCTCAATAGCTCACAGCAGTTCTCCACGCATTCGGCGGACTCGACAACTGGCGTTGGTGGAGTCGGCGTTGGCGTTGGTGTCTGCGTCTCTGGCCAAATGCAGGCGGCAGTTGTGGCAGCCACAACTGTTGGCGGTGTGCCGCCAACCGATGATCATGCCGTTTCCTCGCACACCAGCGCCGCACAGTACGAGCAGCACGAGCAGCAGCAGCACGAACAGCAGCAGCTGCAAGCAGCCGCTTCAGCTGTGGGCGTGGCACAGAACTACAAGATGTCGGAGACGATACGGAAGCGTCAGTATCGCGTCGGTCTCAATCTGTTCAACAAGAAGCCGGAGAAGGGCATCACATACTTGATTCGTCGTGGTTTCCTCGAGAATACGCCACAAGGTGTTGCACGCTTCCTGATCACACGCAAGGGACTCTCGCGGCAGATGATCGGCGAGTATCTGGGCAATCTACAGAATCAGTTCAATATGGCGGTGCTGGGCTGCTTTGCCATGGAACTGGATTTGTCTGGGCGACAGGTGGATGTGGCGCTGCGCAAATTCCAGGCCTATTTCCGTATGCCGGGCGAGGCCCAAAAGATTGAGCGACTGATGGAGATCTTCTCGCAGCGCTACTGCGAATGCAATGCAGATATTGTCGGCAGACTGAGATCATCCGATACGGTAAGCAGAACTATTTCAACTATGACTGACTGTATTTACTTAAACCAATCCTCCCCTGAATTCTTTAGATCTTTGTGCTGGCATTTGCCATCATCATGCTGAACACGGATCTGCATACGCCAAATTTGAAGCCGGAGCGTCGCATGCGCGTCGAGGACTTTATCAAGAATTTGCGCGGCATTGATGACTGTCACGATATCGACAAGGATATGCTTAGTGGCATTTTCGAGCGCGTCAAGTCGGATGAATTTAAGCCGGGCAGCGATCACGTCACCCAAGTGATGAAGGTCCAAGCGACCATTGTCGGCAAGAAGCCGAATCTTGCGTTGCCGCATCGTCGCTTGGTCTGCTATTGCCGACTGTATGAAATACCCGATGTGAACAAGAAGGAACGTCCTGGCGTCCATCAGCGTGAGGTGTTCCTGTTCAACGATCTGCTGGTCATCACCAAAATCTTTAGCAAGAAGAAAACATCTGTGACGTACACGTTCCGCAACAGTTTCCCGCTCTGCGGCGCCGTTGTCAGCCTGCTGGACTTGCCCAACTATCCATTCTGCATTCAGCTGTCGCAGAAGGTCGACGGCAAAATTCTAATCACATTCAATGCGCGCAACGAGCACGATCGCTGCAAGTTTGCCGAGGATCTCAAGGAGTCTATCAGTGAAATGGATGAAATGGAATCGCTGCGCATTGAGGCGGAACTGGAGCGTCAGAAATCGGCACGCAATCGCGCCCCAAACAATGCCGATAATCGTGACAGTGGCGTTGCCGATGTGGAGGTGTGTCCTTGTCCCTATCAGCCAGGTGGCACTCAGGCTGCCGGCGAGCAGGCGGCCAACTCGACGGATTCCACACAGCTGAAGCGCAGCGCGCTCAGCAACAGTCTGCTGGACATGCACGAGCAATGTGAGTTTAACTGGGATTAACTGACAAGCTAAATAGTTGCTAACTCTCTATTTATCTTTCCCTATCCAGTTGGCAATGAGAAGCCACAGCGACGTGGCAGCGTTGGCTCCTTGGATAGCGGCATGAGCATCTCATTCCAATCCACAACCACATCGAGTGCATCGCGGGAAAATGCAGCGGCAATTGCAGCTGCCGCCAATGCAGCCAATGCAGCGTCCAAGATCCGTTTCAATCTTCAAGCCACAACCAGCAATGTGTATGCCGCACCTGGAATGCAGGCCTATACGCATGCCAACTTCGTGCAGCAGTCGCAGGCGTCGTATTTGCTGCAGCAACAACAGATGCTGCAACAGCAGCAGCTGGCACAGGCTCAAATGCAGGCTCATGCCCAGGCACAAGCTCAAGCGCAGGCTCAAGCTCAGGCTCAAGCTCAGGCCCAGGCTCAAGCGCAGGCGCAGTCGGGCGCTGTGGTCATGGGACGCATACCAGGACGTGAGCGGAAGGCTTCGCGTTCGGATGACTCGCGCTCCACAGAGGTCTAAAGTTAGGCGCAACATTTGTACATTGAGTTCTGCAGCTAGCGACTAATATATATAAACATATATGATATTTGTATGATCCAAATCGAAACGAACCGAACCGAACCGATCGCCATTTTTTTCAAAAGCACCTAACACCTAACAAAAACAACAAAAAACAGCAGCTCTACATTATGAATTCTTAAAATGTTCCTTCGTTCTCTGCTAATATTATTAATGTATATAAATGACATATTTTGTCGATTAACGCGATTCAAACAAATACGGTTTAAGTAAGTTTTCAAAACTAATTGTACATACTACACATACTACATTTATATATATATACATATATATATATCTATCTAATATCTCTATATCTACATACAAATATGTATTCAAATACCCCCTATGATAAACGCAAACTCGGGCATTGCATAACTCGGGACTGCAGGCAGGTAGCTATGAATACCCTCCCCTTGGCAGTTAATAACATTGCTAGCATTTTTTCTTTTGTATCTAATCCCGTTCAATCGACAAGTACACATACGATATACTTAAAACAGTAGTTCTCTAAAACTAAAACCAACCAACCAAGCCACTACCGATAAGTGCGCGCTTTGTAAATTACATATTTCTTATCCCACAATTATGTTTTTGTTTAACTAAAAAAACGATCGTATATACCGCGTGTGTGTGTATATACCAGGAATATTAACTTAAAAGCAATTAGCTATAATTATTCATATTTATAGAGCCAAAACTACCCAAAACCTAAAATATTAAATAATAATTATAATAAATCGCAAAAGTGTATGGAAAACAAAACACCACAAAAACACACATCTATATATATATATACATAAATATATATGAAAAAAAGCAAAAGACTTAAAAATTTAAATAAATGAAAAGAAATAATACCAATCAACTTTGTATTCTAATTTTAAATCCCATTTAGATACCCTGAACCCATTGAAAATGGCTAAACGAGGATAAAATTGTTTTGTGCAAATGTATGTAACAAACAGAGGGAAGTATCTCTGACCATAAAGTATATATATATTCTTGATCAGGATCAACAGACGAGTCGACATAGCCATGTCCGTCTGTCTCTCAGAGAGCTAGTCTTCAAATGTGGTAAATAAGTTCTCGCAGAATAAGTTTGCTTCATTTTATCGATAACTGCCTTCGTTTCTCGAATATCGATACATTTCGATTGGGGTATATCGTAGCGAGCTCATCCGTCTACAGCATTCTTATTTGTTTCGACAAATTGTAAGTGGAATAAGTGTGATTAAATACGCACATACTCTTAGGCTGAAAAATAAAATCACAGCTCCAATAATCTGTACTCGGACAATGGAGTCATAAAAAAGTTCAAAAAGTCACATTTTACTTGTATAAATTTATATATTTCATATTAGTGATTTCAACTTATTTATATTATTGCTGACTCTACTAATTAAGGCCTTGTACAAAATTATTGTATTTATTGTTGTAGGTGCTAAATTCTATATTCGTAGTAATTTTCTTATAATGTCTGAGTGTGTGTGTGTGTGTGTCTGTGTGTGTTGGGTGTGTATGTCGTATGTATGTATGTATGTATATAGATATAGGGTTGCCTGAACAACATGTTAGTCTAAACAATTATTGCTTTAAGAAAAATATACAAAAACTAAGAGTTCAATTGGAGGGATCTAGACAGAGGTAACGAAGAAGTTTACACAAAATATTTCGGGGAGAAAGGGATAGCTCTCTACTTACAATAAATTGCACTTGCAAACATTTTCAGATGCATTCGGATGATTCGCGAGTGTTATTTTGGGTGCGTCTGGTTTTTGGGATACAAAGTATAAACATTATAATTAAACTAAACATATTTTGGCACTGTAAATTAAAAATTGCTTTCGATACATCAAATAGAAAATTCGTAAGACCAAAAAAAAAAAATAATTGCTGCTAACGGAAACATTCAAAATAATCCCATATTCGTTAGTCGATAATAAATTACAAAGTTTTTTTTTTTGTTGCAAGAATTGTTTCAATTTCAGTTGCTGCTGCTCGTCTAAGGTTTCGTTTTGATTATGCTAAGATGAAGATGAAGCTTCCAAGGGCCAACAGAGCTGCTCTGTTTGGCTGGAGGCGCCTCCACTACTACTGCTCCGCTGATTAGAACTAGACCATGCCAAAGTCGGTGCAAACGGATGGGGCTGTTGTTGCCGTCGCCGGCTGGTTATTCTGTTGCTTCTCCTGTGCCGTGCTGGCCGCCACCGCAGCTGCCGCAGCCGCAGCCATGTTAAGCTCCACTAGCGTATCGATGCTGTTCAGACTGACACCTTGTAGAATCTTGCGCGCCGCAAGCGATGTAAAGTTAAACGATAAATCCGTCAAGCTGGGAAAATTGTAGAGTTCCTCACTGCCAGCGGCGAGAACGGAGCCCATGCCCATGCCATGCTGCTCCAGCGACTCCTTGGTCAGACTTAGCCGCCGATCCATGGCCTCCTTGTCAATGGACTTGTCATTCGTATGATCCTTCAGTGCAAGATTGGGTTCACTGCCCAACGGATTGCTTGATTGCTTGTGCAGCAGATGCGCCAGCGCCAGCTCATCTCCATTCATGTTGCACTTCTGCAGCTGGCAGACAGACTCGTAGCAGAGATTCTTTAGATCGCTGCTGCTGTTCATCAGCTTGTGATTGCTCTGCGACGGCGCCAAATCCTTCGAGTGCTTCTCATAGAAATGCAAATTGCCCACAGAGCCCGCTATCTCAAAGTCCTGCTTGGCCAGGGCAGCCAACTTGAGGGGTTGCTGCTGCTCGGCGTTAGGTGAATTTGGCTGTGATTCATTCTTGAGCACATTGTTCTTGTAGGCAATGCCATTGGCCAGCTGCAGGCAGAGCTTGCGACTGTTGTTCATCGTTGCATCGTTGTTGGTATTCTTGGCATACTTGCCGCCATCATACGAAGGCGTCTCTGTCGCCGTATTCTCTGGCGAGCTCTCGCTGATGAATGAAATGGAATCGCATGTCTCTGAGTTGGCCTCCGTTTCGCTGAGTGGCTGCTCCGGCACGGATTCAGGACGAACTGGCGTCGAGGTGGCCATAGGCACAGGCACTGTTGATGCTGCTGTGGTTGTCTGCTTCGAGAGCGTCTTCTTGATGATCTCACCCTTCTCATTGGTCATCGTTTCATTGTTAATGATGAACACATTCGAGTTCTCCAGCATCTTGCCATTCTCCAGGGTGATCACACTCCGCACAGGCGAGTTCTGCACAAAGATCTTGGTGCTGGGTATGCTTTGTCCGCTGCCATTCGAGCTTGTCGTGACCTGTAATGTTATCGAGTTGCTGCTGCTCGAATTGGGCACATTCCCGTTACTTGGCGGATAGCTAAGCTCCTCCATGATGCGACTGGGCGTGCTCGACCGTTGTCTTTGCGCCTGTGCCTCTGCCACACGCGCTCGCATCGCCTGATGCCGTGGCGTGCCACGCGGCGAACCATTCAACACCAAGATGGAACGTGTGCTGCCACCACTGCCAGTTGTTGTGGTAGTTGTTGTTGTTGTGGGTGCCACCACTGCGGTATTTGTGGAGCATTGCGAGTCGAGACTAGAGTGACCGCTGGTCTTCTGGCTAAAGGACACCTTGCCGCTATCAATGCTGGAGGGTCCACTCGCAAGCATCGATGTCTTGCAGGACTCCAGACTGGATGGTCCACTGCTCTGCAGACTGCGATACGTTGCCTTGTTGTCCATGCAGCCATTGATAATCAATCCATCCGTTTGCCGCTTGGCCGGCGTGACAGACTTCAGCGTGGAGGAGCGCGCCGGCGAGCACTCAAAGATGTGTTTGCCAATCACCGACTTTTGTGCGGTCTTCTGCGGCGTGGGCGTTGCTGCGTGCAGACGCGACAACGTCGCCGACGAATGATTCATTTTGGTGTGATTGACGGCGCTATTGCTGCTGCTGCTGGCCGGTATGGACTGCGTGGAACGAGGTAGCGAGCTACTGCAGTAGACGGGCGAACGGCGGCGTATCGGCGAACAGTCCCTGGAAGATATCAGAAACGTCGACTCGCTGGACATGTGACGGCGATGGCGGCGCGGCAGCGTTGACGATCGTTGACTTAGCTCGGAGCCATCGTAGAACGTCGAATTGGACAGTGTATGTACAGCGGGCATGTCCTGCAACAGGAGCAACAATGAATAGGCATAAGATCAGTGCTGGCAGTAAACTTACGTGATCTGCAGTTTGGGTGCCCACACTATGCAGATGCACGGCACGCGAATTGAACCACTCGGCGGGTGGAAATTGTGCCGAATATGTCTCAATCTGTCGCTGCTTGGCGCGTCCACTGCGTCGGAAAAGCCTCGAGAGCAAAGATCCTTTTTCTGCGATTGCCAAAGAAAAATGTGTTAAGCATTTAAAGTTTGAATTGGCATTGCTTGCTGCTGCCGCTAACTCACTGGGTGATGACGAATCTGTGCTTTGGTATTCCGAGCTGCTGCTGTCCGTCGTGTTGAGCGTTTGGGCATAGGTCTTGGACAGGCTGCGTGTGGAGGCGCAGCGTTGCAGGCGCTTAGATGATCCAAAGAGCCGCAAACTGTGCCGTCGTTCCAAGCTGCGTGGCGTCGGAAATGATGCACTGCGTCGCTTGGCCGCACGCGGATAAATGATCTTGTCATTGGGATTACCTGTACACAAATGCAAATTTACACTTAGTAGTTTAAGGCTGATGTAATTTCGATTTAGAGTTTAAAATTGGAAACGCGATTCTATCACGAAATTCATAAGTAAGTCTTGTATTTAAAAATCGCTTTTTAATATATGTAATTATTTCCAGCTGATTCGGATTAATCAGATCAAAAAAAAAGAATGTGTTTCTATTGGCGAAATTCTAAAGTATTTTATTTGAACATATTTGTTGCCAAACTTTAAAAGACAAACTTATCTTACCACTCTACAACTGCTAAAAATCTTTAAAAGACAGAGACAGAGAGAGAGAGGACTTACCGCCACAGATGACATCAGCCAGATTGGTCTGTATGCATTGATGCGTTAGATCACCATCCCGTTCCGTGGATATTTCGCCGTAGAGCGAATGCAACGCCTCAGCATTGGACATGAGCATTGTACGGGCCTCGGGCGGTATTATGTCGTGCTGCTGCTCCTCCTCAGCCAGCTGGGAGTAGACCAAACTGCCATTTGTGCTGTGACCGCCGTTCAGCTGGTGATGATTGCTACGCGGACGCGAGCGACTGCGACGACGTCTAACAAAGATCAGAGAGTTAAGGAGTTTAAGGTCATGTGCGATGATGTTAAGCAATTAGCTGTTGTTACTTACTCTGGCGTGAAGATGAAGTAACCCTTTGCGGTCTGGTAGATCTTCTGCTCCTGCATCAGCTGCGCCAGCGTATCATAGATGACCTCTGTCGCTGGCGTGGTCATGTGCGGAAATCGAATGCCCAGCTTGCAGCGCACATGCTCAATGGTCGCCGATTGACCCTCGGCTGTTAGGTCCATGATGACGTCACACAGTGCCTCAGGCAGCGGCGTGAACTGTCCCTGAACCGTCGGCGTCACAATGCAATCGTCAATGTCACCTGCAAGATGGCAAAACAAGAGAAGAGACGGTCAGCATATATGGCTAATGATAGTCCGCTCAACAGCCACATTTGGTCAAATAAACTTGCTCGCATTTTTGCCAAGACAAATCAAAGCAAAGCAGCATTGGCAACATTTGGGGTGGCCCACCCGGGCAGTCGGGTGACCGTTTGACCAAACCAAAGCGAATGTTTCAAAAACCAAACTGAAAACCTTGACTGCAAATGGCATTTGGGCATTTTGATGTTACATCTATGAGGTAATTAAACGGAGTGCCACACATGCGACATGCGTCGAGTGGCTGCGCTGGAGGCTGAGGCTGAGGCTGAGTGGTGCGACTAAGTGGTTTGTTCCACTTTTCATGTGGCTGATGCTGTTTTTGACACTGAACTATTGCGCATTCGCTTCAACAAGTGAATGTCTAATGATTTTCCATTTAATTGTAATTTTACTTTTACTTATACTTATCATTTTGGATTTCAGTTGTCAGTTTACAGCTTTCCCAATTGCTTCAATGCAATTGGTGTATTCTTTGTGATTAGCCAATTTGCGTTAGATTAATAAGTTTATATTAAATTAAAAATGTTCTCAATTCAAAATATATATAGCATTTTTATAAGCATCATCTGTTATTAGATTGGCTTCATTTGTCTTCTTTTAGCTTCGTTTTCTTTCATCACAAATTCTTGTCCTCTTATTTATATCCTTTTATGATAAATCAATAATATTTCCAGACATATTCTTCGCAATTTGCCAGACAATTTTCGCCTCTGGATATCTGGATATCTCTTTCGATGTCTCCCAATTAGTCGGTAATCAGTTATCGTTGTGATTACAATATGTTTATCGATCACACCTCGTTGCTGTAAACATTATCTTTCACGTCAACACAACATCATCATTATAATCGTTGAAGGAGCGTCTATTCACAAGCAAACGAAGACAACGATTATCGCCACACCACACAGGCTGCCACTTGTGCGGCACATGATGTTGCAGTCAGTTTGCCAGTAATGCCTAATATGGTATGCGGCAAATAATAATTTATCTATATACTTGTATTTTGTGCAGTGTTCACGCGTCGTATGCTTAATTAAAATGCGCACCCAGCAACAAGAAAAATTGAACAACTCTGTTGTCGCATGGGCTTCAATCTTGTCTACCGCATTGTGGCCAACAATTTGTGGAGGCGCCGCCACAATGCTTCCTACTTGTCAGCTTAACCTCCAAAAAGCAGTCACAAGCAACAACAATAACAACAACAACAGCAATAACTGCAACAACTGCAACAGCATCAACGCCCCCGAAGCAAGCACTAAAATTGCAACTCACTCCAAAAGCAAAGAGAAGGAGTAAGAGATTGAGAAAAAGAGAGAAGGGGAAGGGTAAGTGCTCGTACAGCAAAATGAGACCAAGTGTGTGACGACCTCCATCGTGGTTGCTGTTGTTGTTGTTGTTGTTACTATCGCCGAACTCTATCTCAGTCTGTGGCTCAGCCTCGTGGCAACAACGTCCTTGCGGCAATTGCATAATTTTTCAAGTTTTCACTTTCTGCTGTTGCAATTACAGCTGCCGCTGATGCTGTTGTTGTTATTGTTGTTGTTGTTGTTGTTGTTGCGTATCCGGCAGCAATTTGGCACTGCAGACGCAATATCCAACAGCCGTGTGGGATGTCATCATCGTCAAGGACAATTAGCGCCATTTGACGAGCGACTGCAAAAATCGTTATAAAAAAAAATAAAATACATTTGCCAGTCACCAAATGCTGCTGCTGCTGCTGCTCCTGCAGTAGTGTCCCTCTCCTCTGACCCTGTATCCCCTCCAAAAACCATTTAATACTACGAACAACAACAACAACACACTTGCCACATTTGCACTTTCACATCGCGCACGTCAAACAATTTATTTGAGTTTAATCGTTCACTTTTTGTAGTTACAAATGCATTTGATAAAAAAATAAAAAAGATATAGATTTATATTGCACTCAATCTCAATCTGCAAACTTCAAGGCGCCATAGAAATTGGCTGGCACCACCTCATTGTTGCAGCACCGATGCCTGCCCCAATGGCAATTTATTTGCCTTGGCCTTATCAGCTGGCACATTTTGGATTTTTGCTGTTCATTTGGCAGCGACTCCCTGACCATAAATTGCCGGCACAATAGCCAAATGGGCACTGCACACAAAATATATGCATATATGCATATTAGAAGTATATCATACATCATATCACATGTGCCATTTATAACACACATATACATTTGAGATTGTTTGTTGACTTGGTTGGCGGCCAAACACACTTGCCAGCTGTTGTTTATTTTTAGTTGGCAAGGGTTGCTGGGAAATATATTTTGGTGCCTTGACCTCTACAGCAGGCCAAACAGATGGATGGCTGCTAGAATGAATTGCATAAGCTTCATAAATAAAGCTTCCCTCCAATCAATAGACTTGGCCAAAAAATCTTCTTTACAGATGTTAAATATTAGTTAAAGTCTTGTGTATAGATGTGTGTTTAGACTGTGGCTTGATGCTTCAACTTGTCAGCCATCTAAATTGTATTTTCTTCATTTTAATATACCTTTTTTTATGTAGCAATCATATTTAAACATTAATCAACCTATTGAAAGGCTATAAAACATTGAATTAAAATCTATAACATAAACATTGAACTGGTTTTAGCAGATAATAAATAACAATAGCAATAATAATCATATTCTGTGGCTTACAGTGATAAACTACAAATAAGAAATAGTCGCCTACTATTGCCCTTAGCATACTAAGTCTTAGCAACAATCAAACACAAACCTGAATGCGAACCTTAATATTAGCTTACACATCAACTCGGCATTTATATATTTAGCTAATTTCTAAAAATATAATTTCAATTAAATTTTAATGGAATTTATTTTATAACCTGAACTAATTGGAATTTTCTATTTAGTTTTTAATCTACTTCTTGTGATTGCTTTTCAAAAAGTTTGGCTGCTGAACTCAGTGGGATGTCAAACGGTTTCGTCTCAAATTGATTGTTTGATTGATCGGCCGGCAATGAGGAGTTGTGTTCATGCAAATGATAATCTGTGCCTCGTTGCAGCGCAGTGCAAGGAAAGCAGCGCCAAATGATAATAAATATCGATAGAGAGAGGGAGTTGAAGAGGTGAAAAACGATCGCTGCACTTTCCCACCAACGCGATCTCGTCTCAAAGGCAAACAGCCTGCACCCCCGCACTCCCGCAAGTCCCTCCTGACTCAGTAGTTGTAATGCTGAAGCTGCTCCTCCCTCAATCGCCTCATCCGTCTTAAGTAGAGTGAAAGTGTTGCGTTTTGCCTCAAATTGTAGACGTTGCCTGCCATTGTTGTTGTTGTTTTTGTTTTTGTTGTAGTTTTTTGCTTAAGCTGTTGATCTGTGTTGCTGTCAGTGTTGCAGCTTAGTTGTTGCTATTGCTATTGCTATTGCTATTGCTATTGCTATTGCCGTTAACTTGACTGCACTTTGGTTTATGTTATTGTTGTTGGCATTGCTCTGACTCTGACTCCAACTCCAACTCCAACTCTGACTCTGACTCTGTGGCTGTTGCCCGGCGGACACATATCCTTGTGTTCAATCAAACCAAAGCGACGTCAACGCCGCCGCCGCTGCCGCCGCCGCTGCCGCCGCCGCCGCCGCTTTTGCCGGCTCAGACACTGCAGCGTAGTCAAGTGTTTTGTAGCTTGAAGGTTGCTTCGTCTACCTCCCACAACCGGCCCCCTATCACAGTCACCCCCTCAGTCTGTTCGCTGTCCACCCCTTGTCACGCTGAGCAACATGCGGCAAAACATTTTTAGCGCTTGTAGTTTTTGCCATGCATTTTTATGCAAATGAAAAATGTTTCTTGCGATTTCTATTTTTTTTTCTTTTCTATTTGTTGTTGTTGTTTTGTTGTTGTTGTTGTTTTTGTTTTACTAGCCGATTTGCAGCCTCTGACTTGCGTTGCTGTGGTTGTTGGCCATTATTGTGATGCAATTGCCGCGAGTTACAATAATCTTGATGTATGATTTTTTCTCTCCCTCGCTGCTGCTGCTGCTGTTGCTGTTGTTGTTGTTGTTGACTTGCTTGTATTATTATTAGAAAAAGAAAATACAAAAAATAAAAAATAAAAAAAAGGCAAAAAAGAAACCAAATCGCAAGACATTAAAATAAAAGAGGAAATCTGCGCACCTATCGTGTTGTTGGCACATTTTCGCGTTGTTTTGTTTGATCTCATAACCGCCAGCGATTCGACCAGCAACAACAGCAACAACAACAATGAATCAACAACAACACCAACAACAACAGCAACAACAACAACAGCAACGACCACTGCGGACACCATAAACATTTAAACGCTGTCCATTTCGAAATAATCAATAATTTTTAGCTATCAGTGGCAATTTATTATTTTTTTTCTTGATTTTTTCTCCTCTGGGGGCCGCAATCAATGAAAAGAGAGAAGCAAATAAATTAACACTTCCTTAAACGATAAACGCAAAAGCGCCAAAAAAAAAAAACAAAATGAAAAAAAAAAACCAGCCAACTAAAATCTTGAAATCAACAATTGAGCATCAAAAAGCCGGCTTACAATTGCAATCCATAATTGTCGGTGGGGCATCGTTTGATTTTCGTTTATTAATTTTAATTGCATTAGCCGACAAATGGCAAACGAAGGAGGTGGGGGGAGGTGCCACAAACTACGCCCCGCAGGCGTTTATATGTTTTGGTTATGAAGTGAGCCAACACCGATCAAAATAAAGACAGCAAAAGATGAGGAGAAAGATGAGGAGAAAGAGAGGGAAGCTCTCTCTCCCTCTCTCTCTCTCTCTCTCTCTACCTTTCTCTGTTGGATATTCAAACAGCCAACACTTGATACTTAAGGAATTCTTAGTAAAAGTATTTAAAAGCACACAGAAAACACTTTTAAGCGCGCTTCAAGTCTTAATTAACAATCAAAGCAATGGTACAATAAAATGGCCTAATTTGTCTTCTCTTAAAGGCTTGCTTCAGAAAAGACCTCTGGCTCTTAAGCTTACCGATTTTCTTATCGAACTTCAAGCGATGACCGATTATCATGGATATGCAGAACTTAAGACTGGTTAATGATCTTTGCTCAGAAGCTCACTTTTAGTCATTTGTCATTGGGCAAAAGGGCGTATGCCATCAATCTATGAAAATAGTATCCCATTACTTTGACACGAGATAACACTTTCCACTCTTCCACTCTTTTATGAAAATATTGCTATTCTGTTATCTTGGCATCTTGAATTTGTTCGATTTTTACAATTACTTAAAATGTCGTTTTATCTATTCATTCAATCAATCATGATTGTTCTGGCATAACAACATACTTGATAAAAGTTCGTAGCATCTTTCAAGACTTTTGGCTCTCATAACTTTGTCAAAGCCAAACAGATTTTCAGGTTCAAGGCCATTTAGTCAGGGTTGGTTCTCTTGTACTATTTTCATTGATTTATTAGTCAGAGGGATAGCAACTATAATCGACTCTTAGCAACAGCTGCCAGAGCTTTGCAAGAACTAAGCTTAACTACCAAGTAGCTGTCAAACTGTAAACTGTCAGATTTAGAGATTATAGTTAGTCTTTAAATCTTGGTTCATTCCCAGTTTACAGAAGCTGTCGCCCACACAGCGCCACCTATTGCCTATTACGATCGCAAATGAACAGCGATATTTCTCTATTTGGCCTGGCTTCCACCGCGCCATGACGACGACGACGACGACGACGACATGTAGAGCAGTCGACAGTCGGCAGCCAAAAAATGTCTAGCGGCAAACGACAATCACGATTTTGTGTCTGAAATGTTTTTTGCGCGTTTTCAATTTCCACTTTTTCTTAAAAGGGGAAAAAGGCCACGCAGCAGCAGCAGCAGCAACAGCAACAGCAAGAGCAACAGCAACAGCAAGAGCAGCAGCAACATCAGCGTCCCGCAATTGAAAAGATACGCCTGTCCAAGCAAAATGCATACGACCAATTTTTATATATGCACAAATTTCTTTTGTATGTTGTTAGCAAGGCGACGCTAATTGTTTCCGTCGGTTAATAAAAATATTTCAGGCCAGTTACAAATTGAAACGAAACAGGGGCTGCTGCTGCTGCTGCTGTTTATGCAACGCCTCAGTTTAGCACGACGGAGGCACAACAAAATGCAAATTGACATTTACGTGGTTGCAACACCAACAACAACTATAAACAACAATAACAAACAACAGCAGCCCAATGTTGCTGGCAAATAAGGAGCAACACGACGTCAATGATGGCCAAAATAAGAAAAAAACCAAACAATACTTTTGGCGACACTTTTTGGCTAAAATCTCTTGGCAAGCGCCGCAACCGCCGCCGCCGGCAGTGTTAAAGGTCAATGAGTTTTGTGTTGTGCCGCAAGGCACTGGACCTGAACCTGGAACTAGCGCTGTCGATATTCGTTGCCAAGAAAAAGAAAAACTCCTTGTTTTTTTTATATGCCTGCCTGTTGTGCAATAATGCCAAAAGCAAATGCGAGCAATTTCATATAGAAATGAGCGTTCAGGTTGACACTAGATGATGGCAGATATTGTCTGTCAAAATGGCCAAATGTGGACGGCAAATGCTTTTGTTCCCCTTTCAGAAAACAAAAAAACTGATTGTGTGAAATTTGTTAGCTGGCAATTTGTTTGCAAGACAATGCAAAAAGAAAAAAGATAAAAGAAAAATAAGAAAAAAGATGGGGGCGAGAACACTTTCCCGTCGACTGGCAAAATGCTCTGAAGCGTAACCACTTATAAAAGACTCTGAACAGAAACCCCAAGTCGAAACCGAACCCGAACCCAAACCCGAACCCGTAGACAAACGGGTTGACCTCATTAAAGGCAGTCCGTCAGTCGCAGGCCGCAGCAATCAGCGAGTTGCTAGCTGGCGCAAAAGTCATAGTCACAGTCTGGAGGCGAGAAGAAGAACAACAGCGAAACAACAATAAAATTACAATAATCGCTCTCGAGAGGGTGGCGCGGGAGGTGGAGGAGGAGCGGGAGGAGAATGAAGATGATGATGATGATATGAACTTGCAGTGGGACCAACACAAAGACAATGATGAAACGATAGCGATAGCGTTAATATGAACTCCGCCAAAGACTTGACTTGACTTAACTTGACTGATGAATGGCTGGATGAAGAATTGTACTGAGTATGATGGGTATTTTTTTATATTTTTTTTTGTATATATATTTTTTTGGCGCACTTGGTTGCTCTGGTTACGCTTTGGCGAATTCTTTAACGATTTTGGGTTTGTTAACCTCTTCAATGCGCACTTGGCCTGTTGTTGGCAGCGTGAAATTGACTCATGATTTGAAGAATCAGAGAGTAGAGAATCAGCTTAACGGTATATTGCATTCCCAAAATTAAATGCCAAATTATGATTGTGTGTGTGTGTGTGTTTGTGTGTGTGTATTGTGTGGGAAACGACACATAAAGCTTGCTGGCTGCCTGCAATGGGCAACTGTTTTCGCTCATTTGTTTCGTTAATGGCACAAATATTAAGTTGCCATTAACGGGTCGATCGACGCCAACAATCATTTTGGCCATTGCCATGGCCACATTTCACTTTCAGCGGGTCATCATCTCAACGAGAAATCGTGATGAAATTGATTTGTGGCTTTTAATGTTTGTCGTTTTTTTTTCTTTTGCATTCACAATGATAGTCAACGACAGCTGGCAGCCATACCCCACTCCCCGCCGCAATAGCCACATCATTTTCTCGCTTTCCAGCTATTTTGCATTTTACATTTTGCAACAAAGTAGCAGCAACTTCAAGGAAAGACGCAAAATGATCATTTGTCTGTTTTGCTGTATTTTGATATTCCGCTGTCAAATTGCCAATGTCTGATGCCACATTGTAGCTCCCTACCCGCCCGCCGCTACCCCATCCCGTTTGCATTTGCCACTTTAACACGAAATTGAATTTAATTTCGTTACATTTGTTGTTGTTGTTGCTGTTGTTACTGTTGCTGTCTGTTTCTTTGTTTCTTTTGTTTGGCATGTTTTCTGTCTAATTGAGCGAGAAATTGCCGCTGATTGATCGTTTTGCATGCAATTTGTTATTGCTGCACTTTTGCTGTCAGCTCAATTGATAATTGATAATGAGTAGCAATTAAAATCGCTGATGGTTAACATTGCTGATAAAAACAGTAAGATATAAATATGAATTCTGCTTTGAACTTTCAAATTCCAACTTAAGGACAAAGTTTGCCACTATTTTTTATTAATTTACCTAGTCGAAAATCCCGTTTGAATAGAAGATTAAAGCAGAAAAAGATAAATAACTTAACGTCTCTGCTAGTACAAATCAAAAGCGTATTTAATCATAAAATATACCATATATATTTATAATTTTAAAAAGTTAAAAAAAGTGCGTACTGCAAGAATGTTGCCAGAAACAATATTGTGCAGTGCACTGCTTGCTGCACTGCTTGCCAGCTTGTTTACAAACGGAATTGTCATGTTTATGGTAATTAAAAGCTAATGGGTTCTACGCCATTGCGAGCGTTAATTAACAACATGAAGTTGATGCTGCATGCCACAAGCAAAAATGTGTGGCAGCTATGCCTTGCGCCTCCAGCCACATGTACATCAGCATTGCTTGTTTGTGTAATATATACTATTTCCTCAATTGAATTGCACAGAGAGAGAGAAACCGCCAGGCAAACGCTTTTAACTGTTGTTTTGTGGCGCCCCTTGAGGCAGCCGAATCGAAACTTATTAATTTTGTGAAACGGGTTCGCCAAAAGGCCGACAAAATCTAAGCAACAAACAAGCAGCCAGCCAGCTAGTCAGCAATTGAGGAGCCTCGTTGCCGAGAGATCTCTGGCCGGCCATTTATCAATTCAAGAGCTTGCCATCGATTTTGGTTGGTAGCCGATGGTTCACGACAAGGTTCAAGCAGACTCCATAAACTAGCATTCAACGTCCATCCGTTGCAAGTGTGAAAAGAGGCAAACTGTCCGGCGGAAGGGTGAAATGGGGGAGTTGTGTTGTCGCATTAGGCGTGCAGGTGTCCATTTAATTGACAGCTAACGAGCCACAATGGACACAGTGCCTAAGTGCTGAAATACGCGAACAGAGAGACCCATCAAATTGTGATTAAGTATCCAAGCAAAGAGGCCGCAACTCTGATCTTTCAACTTGCAGCAGTCAATAATCAAAAAAAACACGACTTCAATTGCAATTGATTATCGACTATTTCATTTTGCCAATGCTTGAGATTCAACTCTGGTTCTTGCTCCGAATCAGAGGAGTGCAATGAGCAATAAGAATCATCCGAAGAGGTTTCCTGTGGAATGCTACTTTGCGATAGTTTAAGAATATTTGTTTCATTACTCGGCATCTGCTGTTGTTCAAATAACATTTGAATCATGCTATCCCAATGCACAGTGGAATGCTTGATGTCATTCAATTCGTGGCGTATACAAAGATCTTCGGCGGACACAAAGCTATCCTGCTGTATGCCACTCCCATTTAAGGACGCCAGCTTGATTTTAGGTATGCTGCTACTAGAAGAAGCTTGTTTCTCAAGCTTTATTTGGGTTTTCACTTTCTGCTCGACTTGCTCCATCTTTTTCTGCTCCTGCTGCTTTTCCTTTATAGGCGTACCGCCTAATTTCTTGCCGGTACTCGATTGACCATTGTTCAGGCCCGTAATTATAGATTTCACTGGCGTTAGCATATCATTTCGACCAGCCACCTCACGTTCCGTTTCCATGACAGACATGGGTGAGGGAAAACGTTGACAACTGCCCCATAGCTCTGGCATCTGCAGCTCCGTCTCCAGCTCCCGTTGCGCCAAGGATAAAATGTGCCAGATGGACGCATCCGTTGCCTCATTGCCACATTTTTCATTGTATTTGCGCTGCTCCTCGTACATTAGCCAGCGCAACTCGTTGAGATTCTGCCAGCGCTTGAATTGCTCCCTACGCATCTGGTGTGCCTCCTCCGATTGCTGCACCAACGAATTGCGCTGCTGTAACTCCTCTCGCGACAGTCGCTGCACCTCCTCAGGCAATATATTTAATTGGCGCGACCAGTAAAGCAAACGTTTTGTTTCCAGCTCTCGCGCACGATTTGCAACACCTCTCGGACTATCCTCCAACTTGACGTTCATTGTGGCACAGGATACAATTTTGGGTGTTTTTTTACTTTTAACAACGAATTTGTTCACCTAACAACTTTTAAAATCATGTTTACTACATTTGTGTGTTTGTCAACTTACCCACAGAGCTGATGATGTAGGTGGCCGGCGGCTTGAGGACACTGCGAGCAAAGGCGCCGCGCAGCACCTCCAATGCGCAGGGCTCAGCGGTGACCAGCAGCATTCCTGGTGCCACATGGCCGGCATATTTGAGCGCACGTGTCGCCGCAGTCAGTGGGGCATTCCACCAGCATTGCGCATTCGCGGCAAGGAAATTCTGTAAAGGCCAAAGCAGAAATGGATTAAGTATGGGTTGCTAATAGAGCAATTTGGAGGTGAAGGCAGCAGCTTAGTAGAGCTTAAATGGGTTTCGTTTTGTAAGCTAATTAAATTTAAATTACAAATTTCCTAGATGATGTGAACATGAAAGTAGTGCAGTTATAGGATATCAAAGAGAGCCGCCCAATTATTGCCAGTTATCTAGTATCTGCAAAGTGAAACTCAGCTTCTTGGCTGTTGCTTTCTAGATTAATTATCAAAAATCTAATAAAAGTTTGAAAAAAAAGGTTTAATAGGAAGTATGCAATCAAATTTCAATAAAAACTAAACGAAAAGAAAACAATCAAATTTTGATCTTTACTATACAGCTGTAGGAAGTGGTAATAAAGATGTTATTCGACCGAACAACATTTCCAAAAACCAGAATCGGAAATTAACAATCATCATTCGATGGTAGCTCAATAAAAGTAGGAGAGAATCAATTTCAGTGCAACTTATGTGGAGGCAGCTGCACTAATTGACAAATTGCAGTGCGGCAAGTGGCATAATTGAGTTAAGCCGCCTGCCTGCTGCCTGAGTGCCTGCCCGCCTGGCGGGGCATGCTTAAGCATTATCCATCTGTGGGCGTTGAGCGTATAGCCGTATAAAACCCCAAACCAGTTGGCAGCCGTCAATTAGCTAAGCGGATCGCAGCACGCCCCTGAACAACAACTGAAAACAGACAGCCTACCAGCAACTGCAACATATTTGTTGAGGTGGCGCCACAAAGTCGCTGCATCATTGCCTCAATTGTTGTACTCGTTGATGTTGTTGTTGTGGCGAATGAAATGCCAAATCCTCGACACGTTCTGGCCCATATAATTCCACAGAAAATGGCAGAGTTGCATTTATTTCTTCACTATTTTTTTTTTTACCGCTTTTCTTCTGTGGATTCCCAACACTTTTCAAAAACTTTTTAGCCGCTGGCAACAAATAAATGTCCAATTTGTGCGGTGACAGGAACACTTGAGGCACGTTTCTGATGTAAACATCGACCAGAGATCGAGTAAAAAAAGAAATAAAAAATAAAAATAAAGACACAGGTCTAGGATGTAGTAGTAAAATGGGAACATTGCCATTGGGTGGTAGGGTGTGCAGTCGGGGTGGGGTGGAGTGGAGGTGCCTAGGAAATGCATGTTTAAAGTGCAGTCAAAGGTTCAGCTTAAAGTTTCTCTCTCCATTGAGTTTCACTCAAACATTACCTTTCCGTGTGCTTTTTATAGCTTCATGCTAATGAACATCACCCACTTTTAGATATATATATATATATATATATATATATATATGATTTTGTGGTCGCCGCTGCAATTTGACCTTTTGTGATGGCTCTTTTTCTGTTTTTGTCTCGATGTGGTCACTCCTTGGCTTTGATGTCGCCAGAGCATCGAGAGTAGTGTTATGCAATGTGGACATATAAGACCACTGTCTGTCTGTCTGTCTGTCTTTCGATCAGTCCATCCGAGCCCCTCAACTAATGCATGAGCTGGCGCAAAAATTAACTCGTCATTGCCTGATGCTGGTGTCAGCGCATCCATACACATCTATGTATATGTATATGTATATATGTACATATATACCCTGGTCGACAGTAAATGGGGCGTCTTTGGTTGTCACGCGCCGCCATCGGAGATGACAACGTCCAAGCTGCATTATCTATGCAATCATAAGCCCCACTAACTGAGCTCTGTGCTCACTAATTTCTGCTGCATCATCATCAAAATCATCATTGGAAGACTTGGCGAAGAAGAAGAGGAAGTGGGAGGAGCTGATGGCATCCCAAAATGTTTATGTCCCAGTCGTGTTTCATTTTGAAGCAAAGTTTTTGGTTTTTGGCTTTTCGGAAGTAATGCAAAACTTTTAATAATCGAATTAAAAGTGCACGCCGCTGTATGGAAAGTCTTTAAGCCTCAACTTTGAAGTGACTTTGGCGTTTTCTCAACGCTGCTGTTTGATGGCGCTTTCATTGGACTTTTACTTACTGCCGCCAAGCAATGGAAAACTGAACAACTGAAACTCCCACCAAAAACATAAGAAAAAGTCAACACCAACAACACCAACAACAACTGCAACAACAAATATCAGTAATAATTTGAAATTTGCGACGTGCGGTGGCTTTAAAAAGACAAAACTATCGCCAGAGACACACGGGGCTGAGATGAGTTAAGTTGACTTGAGTGGGTATTGAAGCAGCTGGGGGGAATTGGGGGCGGGGCAGGCGGAGGCGGAGGCGCATGTGACTGAGTGCAGCTGTATCTTTCACTGTGTGTAAAGATAATAGCAATCTACAAACAAATGTGCAGTTAGACAGCAGACACAACACAACACACACAGTTTGAGATCCGGGGACGAGCCTAATAGAGTGAAGATGAAGTATAATAATCCTTGACCTTACCACTAAAAACAATCATCTTGCTGCAGCCACAGAGAAAAATAGTGGAAAAATTCAATAAAGACAACAGTTAGTCGCAAATAGTTTGTAATTTCTTGTGGTTAAATTTAAGTTGCGTTCATTTGATTATAAAATGAGAATTTATCGCTGCATTTGGCAAGTGATGAATGTAAATAAATCCTATTAAGCTAATTAGCTTTAGACTACCAAATATGTGCTACCAAAGATATGTAATTAAAATCAAATTATAATCTTAGTTTTGTCCCAATGTTTTAAGAAATCATAATTATAATTATTAGCATTAGTTATTTCTCATTAAAAGGCCATATCAACATTAGTCGGCGCATTTATATCTGGCACTCTGAAGTTACTAAATTATCTACCAAGATAAATGCCGTCACATTTTTGTTGAACAAAAACAAATCAAGCTTAAAAATATACATTTAAAAACTAATCTTTAAATCAGTTTTGTTTACTTTTTGAAAATAAATCATTAAACTTATTACAAAACATAGCTTTCAACAAGCATCATTAAATTTATATATGTACATACAACGACTATAATTATTTAAGTGACTAATGAGTTTAGCTAGGTTCCTCATTCCAAGAGCTCATTCTTATAATTATAGAACACGCTCAACCCCAGGCATGTATATTGGAGTGGTACTTCTATCTGAGGGCTTCATCATTGTTTATTTGTCTGGTCATTTCATGCCGTGGTCAATGGTTGACGTTGTGTGTTCAGTTTCGGACTGAGCTCGAGGATTGGAGTTGTGTTAAGTCCATAAAACTAAGCGCTTGTCGGAAGCGGCTGCTTGCATAAATATGCCAGCGTACAATTCCAATCAATGCGGCAAACTGATAAGCGTACAAATTGCATATATAGTCCACAGTGGGGCACAAGAGCAACGCCCACTTCAAATAGAACCACCCTTGACTAACCACTGCGAGGTGTGGGGAGGGGTGCTGAGGTGGTTGGGCTGGAATAAGGGAATAAGGGCGTTGGCGGCTTCGTCTTTACAGCGTCTCAGCAATTTGCACTGCACTTAAACTGCCAACTCGATTTGGTCAGTCGGGCGTAGCTCCTTTGAAGCCTTCGGCATTGAGTGTGGTCGTCAGTCGAGGGGTGGGGGGGATTGGGGTTGTTATTGGGTTCTGGAGCAGTTCATTGACCAGAGAAATCTACAGAATCTACTACTTGGCCTGCACATGCGATTTGTTTTATTAGTTTTTGCCCCAGGCAAACTAAAGCAATGTGTTTGTATTGCCAAAACAAATTGCGATGGCAGCTGTTGGCAAAAACTCCTTTCTAGCCAGGATACATAAAAAGTATCTCTGACAGCGTAAACGTTGTTTTTGGCAACCCCTTTTGCTGCCTGCCATCAATTAATAACAAATATCAACTCAACTAAATCCAACTCAATTTAAATCAATGCAACTCAACTCGCTTTAAGCGGGCAACAATCCGTTGAGCTCCATCCACGTTTTCTTCTATTTGGTAGAAACCCACTTGTCTATATCTCAGACTGTCAGTTGTTTGCAAAACTTTTCCGAATTGCAAAACTTCTGCTGGCAAATAAAACGAGAAACTCTACGGAAAAAATACAAATAAAAAAACGAAGAGTAAAAATATCAGCTGCTAAAAATCAGCGCCTCAATTTAAAACCGAAGCGTGAAAAGTCTATTAGGTTGACGCGACGTTCGAAATACTGTGGGAACAATAAAGTCTGTTGCAGTCAGCTCCAATTCCAACCATCTCCCATGCCACGTTTTTAAGCCCCTCCCCTTCCCCCACCCATCCCGCATCGCATCCACTATTGGAGCTGCCACCGCATTGCACCTGCCCCGTTGTGTTCTGGCGCTGCTTTTGAATTTGATTTGTTGTCGTTGTTGTCGCTTCTGTTGGCATTGTTGCCTTAAATTGTAATACCCTTTAAATAAGTACATCAAATATTTGGAAAACCATTGAATAAGAAGACCCATATTGAAGCAGTCTGCGTGTTGATTTTTTTTTAAAAGTTTATCAGGCACTTAGATTGCAATTGAATTGTTATATTTGTGTAATGAATAAAATATTTAAGTTTTGTGTCAGATGAATCTCTATTAAATTTTGACAATAAAAAGGTAAAAATTAAAATTTTTAATGCAATTTTAGCGAGACTTAATACAAGGTATTCCGTAGTCCAGCACTTTCAAGTGGAGCGAGCACTCTTGTTGTAATTGTTGCTGTTGTTATTATTGCAATTGTTATTGTTATTGTTGCCTTTTGTATTTTGGCGTTGATGCGCAGCTGGCACTTGCTGAAATGTCTGGCCGGATTGGCTGTGGGCTCTGTCATTCATAGCAGTTAGTTAAATAGCTGCAGTTACACATATATACCTATATATGTACTTATGTGTCTGTGTCTGAATCTGTATCTGTTTACGTATGTATCTATGGAAGTACCTTTGTGCCTGTATCTGGCATTTAGCACGCAATTTCTATGTGCTATGTGCCGCACTCTGGCTGTCATTCAATCAATCTGGCAATCATGCAATGCATCCAAGTGCTGCTAAGGGCATTAAATATGA